GGGCGGGAGGCCGCGGGCCGCGTCCGGCCCGGTACCGGCTGAGCGCGGGCTGAGTCATCCGGGTTCCCGCCACCTTCCCTCCCTCGCGGCGGGGCCCGCGGGATCTCGCTGAGCCTTTCGGTCCGGCACGTGGTGTGGGGGGCGGGCACACGCCACATGAGGGCCCGGGCCCGGCGGGGTTTTCCGAGCTGAGGCGCAGGCGGAAGGGAGCCGAGCGCTGTCCTCCCCACGGGCACTGGTCCCCGGGTGGGGAACGCTGCCCTGACACCCGCGTTCCAAGGAAAGCAGTGGGTCTCGGGCGGCTTCCGTTGCGGCCACTTGAGGGTTGCTCCTGCCGCCTCGCGGAGGCCACCTGGCGTGGAACAGAGTGATGATGGAAACCCGAGGTGTGGGGGGCACTCAGGAGGCAGCTGGATGTGGGAAACCAGTGAGCAGAGGGCGGCGGCAAAGCCCCGCGGAGTTAAGTACCTGTTTCACAGCACCTCGGAAATACCCCGGGCCCAGAAACGTCAGGTCGGCGGGATGGGAGCGTGATAAACACGTAACTGACACGTTCTGGAGAAGACAAGTGTTCCTGCCAGTCTGTGACATTTTCTGGAACCACTGGCCTTGACAGCCCTGTGGCCCGCACGCTTTAACTGAAACCCGCCTCTCCGGAGGGTCTCGTGACAGTGAAGCGCAGTCTGCCAGCACAGCAGCCTGTGCTTCACCTGAGAGCCACCAGCACTGGCCTACTTGTAATCATCCCACCGGTTGTCACTTGTCAGTTTTCCACCTGGGCAGGAGATGACTTTCAGTCAATAAATAAAATGACAGCGTATCCCTTTATTTCCCATCACTTTTAAATTTCATCGTTGTGTATGCACATTTCTCTCCTAGACTGTGGCTGGTGACATTCTCCACAGATGCTGAGGTGCCTATACCCCTGGCGCTGGCCATTACTGAGCTGTGGTAGGTGTAGACCGTACCTCCTGAAGCAAAACCTCTTTACGATGAAGTTGCAGTCTGCAGAATTCCAGTCGCTTTTCACAGAAGGACTGAAGGGTCTGACAGGTGAGAGTCTCGGGCCTTTGCTTGCTTTGGAAGCAAGTGGAGATGCAAAGCGTTAATGTTTCTTAACCAACATTCGAGGTCTTTGGTGGTGGTTTTTTAGCTGTTGAAAGAATGGCCCGGTGTGGGTAATCCAACACTGCAGCTGAATCACAAGAGGCAAGAAATGCCCGCAGTTAAAAGCCTGGCTCTTCCGTGCTGTGCCGAGTGCTTACATGCGGTGCAGTTCTGGGCCTGCTAACTGAACGAGGAGGTGTGTTTTCTCTTGTCTCGTGAATGAGGAGTCAGCCATAGGAATGTGAATGCTTCACCAGCCCTCATGTAACTAACACTTGGGACCTGGGCTCTGGACTTGCTCAGTCTGATCTCAGAGCCCAGCTGGAAACCACTAAGCAGTGTTTCCTCCCTGGGGATAAGTGCTTCTTGCGAGACCTGAAGGAAACGCGTCGCCTCCATTAGTGCACGTGCAGAACTTACCTGGGAGGCTCACAGGAAGTGGATTTAGCTAAGTGCTGACGACAGCAGCTCTATCTTGCTTGCCAGTTCCGTCCTTCTTATGTCGTCCTCAATATCAGCTACCGCTCTTGCTGGAGCATCCACACAGCTTGCATTTCAAAGCCTGTGGTGTTTAGTGGCGCCTCAGAACTATGTTAAGGTGTGTGTTTGTGGAAACATGGCCTGCACGGTGCTTTGCAACCCCCGCTGTCCACCAGCCTCACCTGGGAGCTTTTAAAACATACAGATGCTAGGGACCCAGCCCTGACCCCCTGACTGGAGTCTCTGAGGAGGGTGGGCATCTGTAAACTTTTATGAGAACTCCGCTTTAATTCTGATGCATAGAAGGTAGAGGAATCGCTGCTTTAAAATGACTCTGCTTGTATTAGGTGATTCCTAAAGCTGCTTTCCTGTTCTTGAATTAGATGATTTTTTAGGTACCTGTCAGAGGTAAACAGTCCAGAACTAGTTGATTCTTATAGGTTCTTCACCTGGTCTTGAAGTAGAGGGCCTAAGTTGATGCTTCACTGTTTGTTAATTAGTGTAAAAAATAATAGAAACTCACTGTCCAATAGAAACTTAACTTGAGTCACATATGCAGTGTATACTTCTAGCAACCACATTAGAAAGGTAATAACAAACGGGTGAAATTAATTTCGTTATTTTTAATTACATCTCATTTAACCCACTGTATCTATGTTACCCTTTTAATATGAGATTTACGTAAAAATCGTTAGCTATTTCACATCCTCGTAAGCCTCTGAAATCTGGTACTGAGCATGCACAGACCGTCTCAGTGCAGACTCGCCGCAGTTCAAGTGCTCCGTGACCACATGTGGCTGCTGTTTGCACAGCACAGGACTAGCGGCTCCAGCTTTGACTTGAATTCAAGCCCGTTCCTTCTTCCTGTGTCTTTCCCACCTCCCAGTCCTCCCCTCTTCAACTGCAAGAGGCCTCGTGGAGAAAAGGCGCCACATGATCGATGTCGCTACCTAACTCTGGTGGCCTGGCTCACATCCTTCTGCATTTTTCTTTTGGAAACAAGGCTCTAGATATTGATTATTATAGATTCTTGAACATCTTTCGTTTTAACAATTGCGTTTGGCTTACTAACCTGACTTCAAGAGCTGAATCTCCTCTATCTTGAGAGGTGACGTCCTGGGGAAGTTGGAACCTGCGCAGGGTGGTGCGTCAGAGGCAGTACTTGCCCAAGGTGTCGCCTCAGAAGACTGGCAGAAGGGAGTGAGGACCTATTCTGAAGTCGGCTTTTTCTAGGCTGCAGGGGAAGGGGCAAAAATGAGATCTTTTAATGAAGTGCTCGACAGAAAATCTAATAATCGCTTTTAGTTGGTCTTTGCTACTTTTTAAACTTGAGCATCTTAGTAAAATACAATGTTCTGTATGAAAACAACGCACAAAAATACACGAAGGGAAAAGCGATTGCTGTCGTATGGCGCTGCTCTGCAGTTTAACGCTGTGCCACTTCTCGGGTCGTAAGAGCGCGTTGCCGCCTGTAGAATTGTTTTCAGTCTGCAGGCATCTGGGCGCTAGGGTACCACGTTCTGCTCACACAGCATTTTATTATTTGTCAGTTTATTTCATGTAATTAACTTTTCATTTTGCTTGGGGACAACCATTTAGTGCTAGGGGCGTATAGGGTTAAATCCCCATTCTACATAGGAGACTGAACTTCCAAACGTAGCATTTTTGCCTAAGTTACACAGTCAGTGGGCGAGCCAGGCTTCTTTGGCCACTTGGTTGTGGTCTGTACTCACCGCCGGGTGATAGTGCTCAGTGTATGTCATGTCACAAAGTTGTCATGTTAGCAGAGGGACAGTAGGAACAGCTGGCCGCTCCTGGAAACGCGAAAGAGCAATGTTTGTTTTCTGGTGGTCACAGTCATGCCATGTACCATCTGCCTGCTTACACCCCCGCTCACCCCCATCCCCCACCCTCCAGCACTCAGAATTCAGATTTGTAAAGAAGTTAATGAAAATTGGACTGAAAATTAACAAAAAGATTTGGACTGAAAATTAACATAAAAGATTGGAGACAGTTATCAAAGTTTCTGACACGTATATGTTAGTCTTGGATTGCCGATGAGAACAACAGGTGGCAGATGGAGCAGATTAGCAGTTTTAGAATGAGATTCTGCCTTTTTGAGTCTTAGGATTAAATTTACAATTAAATTTAGTGGTAGTAGGTGTCATTTTCACTGAGTATGTTTGTACTCTACCAAAATTGTTAGAATGTGGAATTTATCCCTGTTTCTAGACAATCGTGTCCATAATCGAAGAAAAAAGGAATCTTTAAGCTTAATCCCTATAGTCTTAGGTCAGTATATCATCATGCCGTTCTTATAGTTTTTAGGACTCCCATTCCATGCATGCACATGTGTATGCCTTTCTCAATTGTATTAAAATATTAGAATTGTGAGATTTTTGGAAATAGTTATAGATTTCCATAGAACTAATCAAAGTGACGAATGGGTTACGTAGAGTTCTGGATCTCTTTTCCAGTTAATTTATCCGATGCCTTTGGCCTCACCGTTGTATTTCAGCGGAGCCAGCGTGCGATGCTAAAGCAGCGGTCATCCACGTGTTCGGTCTCGCCTTCTTCATCCTGTGAAGGCAGGTTCGCATGAAAGTAAAATGTGCCCATTGTTTTGCATCCAAAACAATTTCTTAGATGCTGTTTTAATTTGAAGGAAGAAAACCTTTTAAAAAAATGCCCTCACAGGGAAGCCCCCTGTTCTTAACTAAGCTAGAACATCGCAGCTCGGTTCCTTGGTGAGCCAAGTGTGTGTGGAGACGAGCGAGGTTGGTGTTTGACCCCGGGAAGCGGGGACACTCTGGCACGTGAGCAGGCGATTCTCGGGTGACCGGTGTGCATAAGGGCAGCCACGCCAGAATAAGCTCACTCAGTCCGGCGAGGCTTCCTAAACTCTGTCACGAGAGATGGGTCAAGGCAAGCTGGTCGGCGTTTTTCCTGCCGTGGGGGGTGACCCCTTAGTGGACCATAGAGTCAGAATTTAGCGGCCATGACTAGTCTTCAAAAGGTAGCGGGAAAGAGGACAGAATTGAATAGATTTGATTGCGTGGTGTGTAGTAGGGGTCTTAGTTCATGAAACGTTTGCCCCACACACACATGCACGTGCACACACACGTGTGAGTGAGCGCTACGCGAAATGTCTTTCTTAGTGTGGCTCTGCGCCAAGATGGTGGACAGCAGCTGCCCTACTGGGTGGGTGCGTAGGGCAGGGGCTTGGGCGACGTGGCCTTTGTGAATAGGGTTGCAGAGGGGACGTACGGGAGAGTCAGGTGTGTGTGAGATGTGCGGGGTCAGTGAGATGAGACAGCCAGGCCATGGAGCCCGGGGACAGTGCTGGGTGGCCACCAGAGGCAGCGCCATCCATCGAGCTGCGTGTCAGACCCCTATCCCCGGCATGGGGCTGGACTCGGGGCAGGGACAGGAGTCAGGGTTCCCTGAGGCCCAGGACAGGAGGAGGATCAGAGACGCTGCACCAGGGAGGAACGAAGGTCGCATCCGAAATTTCATGGTGGTCCTTCCCGGTTCTCTCTTTTTTCTTTTAAGATTTTTATTAAAACATAGCTGGCATACAATCCTGTCTCAGTTTCCGGTGTATGTGACAGGCACCTCACTTCGCGGGGGGTTCTAAGTGCTGCGATCGACGCGTGTTTGCTGCTCTCGGAGTTGCACGCGTAAACGAATCGCCTCGACTCCGGGGCACAGAGCGGTGTGATCGAGAACACGGCACATCTCCGAGGTGCTCACAGACAGCCGGGGGAGGAAAGCCTGTTCCCTTTGCCCGCTGCTCGTAACTCAGACGTATGCGGACGACCGCGAGGCAGCGCGAGCTTCGGAGTTAAGTTGGGTCAGCAAGGGAAAACTGCACGTCCCCGCCGAGCACGTCACTTGGTGTCTGTAGGCCTCGTTCTCCCGGTTTTCTCGTGAACGCGCTCAGTTCGGTGACCTCTGCTGTCTCTCCCAGAGCGAAAGGCCTCGCGCTTCCGCGCCGCTTGCGAGCTGCGCGTTGAAACACCTGTTCTTTGTCGCCGCAGAGTTGTTCGTCAGGGAGAACCACGAGCTGCGCATCGCAGGAGGAGCGGTGCGGGACCTGCTGAGCGGGGTCAAGCCACAGGACGTGGACTTCGCCACCACCGCCACCCCCAGCCAGATGAAGGGCATGTTTCAGTCTGCCGGCGTGCGCATGATCAACAACAAGGGCGAGAAGCACGGGACCATCACTGCGCGGGTGAGGGCGACAGCCGGCCGCGGTGGCGCCTCCGGTGTCCTTCCAGACACGTCCGCATTTCTTCCGAGTTGAGTACAGCGAATCGTGACAGCTGAGTGGACGTCTCCTCTGTCCTCTCAGACCCCACCCCTTCCCTCCTCCTCACTCGGCTCATTTGTGCTACTTACCTGCTGCCCCCATGTCCCCGGAGGCCTGTCCGTGCCGCGGTGTTCAGCCGTGGCTGTCAGTCTCCCAGCGTAAGGTGGCGTCTGCTGGCTTCTCTTCCGACCACAGCCCCCCACGGCAAGCTGGAGACCCCCTCCCCTGGGCTCCTGGTGCCTTCGCTCCACGGGTCAGGCTGTGGGAACACTCAGGGTGTACAGGGCTGTGTCCTCCGCAGCCAGACCGGGTGGCCTGGGATGACTGCGTTTCCTGCGGTTAGTAGCGTTTTCCAGGGACATCGCTTTCCGCGTGCCGGTGCGTCCTGCGCTGTCACGCCGTCTGTCCCTCTCCGCAGACCGAGCACTTGCGGGTTCAGGACCCTGTCGGGAGCCCTCCCCGGGCCCCCTGGGGCAGCTTCCCAGGCCCCTTCCCGGCGCCGCGTGTCCCGTGGGCCGCGCGGGTGCGCTTGTGCTCCCGCCGCATTCTCATCGTCTGGAGCAAGGGCCGCCTGCTCCGTCTGCGGTTGTTTTGTCTGGTCCCCGCCCCCGTCCCTGCCCCCGCCCCTGCCTGGCTCTGAGCGCTGCCGGCCGTGGCGTCAGGCGGGAGCCGCGGTGTCTGCCTTCGGGCGATGCCACAGGGAGGCAGCGCGGGCCGGGCCGGGGTCTCCTCCGCAGCCCGACGCTTTCCCTTCTGAAGCCTTCCCGACCTTTTTCTCAGATGACCGCCTCGCTTTGGGTTTGTGGTCTCTCTCCTGCGCTGGGGGCCCCAGTGCCCCTCCTGCCCCCCTCTCCTGGGTTCATCCCCTCTGCTGAGCGTCCTCTCTGCAAACGCCTGTGGCGTCGAAGGGTGGACCATGGGGACTGATCCGGTTTTAGCTTTTGTCTCCTCTGTTTTATGTTCTCATGTCTTTTATTTTACTTTCCACGAGATTGCCTTAATTTGGTCATCAGTCTTTCTATTGTATTTGCAAGGTTCGCTGTCTTTTGAATTTCCTAGAGGTCTCTTCTAGGATAGTTCTCCTGAAAGCTCCTGTTCTTGCACCAGATGCACTGTTTTGTCTTATTTCCCTTGGGATGTTGATTAGAGTTACTTTGACAGTGTGTTTATTTCCTCTGAGCTTTTTCTGTCTCTCCTCCGGCTTCGCGTAAGTGGGGTGTTCTTTGGCTCTCCGTGTGTTCGGGTGATCCGCCTGTGTTTGGGAGATGACTGGGGAGCTTTGCTGTCGTTTCGTGTGGCAGTGCCAGCCAGCTGGCTGTGGGGCCACCAGTGTCCACATCAGTGGCCTTTTCATTAGGAGAACTCAGGAACCCTCCGGCGTTGTCCGGGTTCGGATAAACCGGGGATTAGCATATAAAAACCGAGTGGCAGAGGGACGGGAGTCATGCTGGGTTTTGGTCACTCGGCCTTGCTCTCATGGTGGCACGTCACTCCCGTGGTCCTTCCTCTGTCTCCGTGAGGCGGAGCAGTCGTGACTGTTTCAGGTCAGCCTCCGTAGGGGTCACTGTCTGGCTCTCGGGGTGAGGGAGGCTTCTGGGGGTCTCAGTCCTCATACTTCACACCCTCTTGCTGCTTTCCTTTAGAGAGAATTGCGCCTCAGGTCCCCGAGCTCTGGAGTTCCGTGGCGAGGGCTAGCTCGTTTCTAGAATAGCACGTGTGAGGTCCAAGGGACCCTAGGGCAGGCTCCTGGTGATGGCCCGAGGCTGCTTGCTCCTGCGCAGAGGTTGCAGACTCCTTCTCGCTCGACGTGCAGCGCCCTCTGCCGTCCTCCCCGCGCGCCTGCACGTGCCCGTCAGCACCCGCCTCACACTGCGCCTGTCCCCACTGCGCCTGCGGCCATCCTTCCTCTCCCTTCCTGTGTGCGTCTGTGCGTACAGATCCTACTTGTTTTCCACGGCTCCGCCCCCTCGTCACTGTCACGAAGCCGTGCGACCCTGACGTGCAGCGCTTTATGCTGGTAGCATCGTCAGTGGGGACCGGTGAAGGAGCTGCAGGGGCCGCCAGCTGTTTCTCCCTCTCTGTCCTTTGCTTGGCGGTGCGTATTCTGCCGGTGGGTCTACAGCGCTTTGCAAACTGATGCTATCGAAAACTATTTCGAAGGGAAGCCTGATTCGACATGGAAGAACCGGATTATGCCATTTTAAGGGCTCCTCCCTTTCGCCACACCACTGTCAGCCTCATCTCTTCTGATCAGGATGAGTTTATTATTTTTTAAAGTATTCTTCGGGTCTGTCTTTGAATATTGTGGGTGTCGTTCTGTGCCAGGGTGTGTGTGCACAGGTTGACTTTCAAAAGAAAGCAGGTATATCGAGCTGTCAGGGCTCACGTATTATTTTCAATCCATCCAGTAATACTAAAACCTAACTTTTACAAAACGTGTTTTATTACAGCTTCACGAAGAGAATTTTGAAATCACTACGCTGCGGATCGACGTCCTGACGGACGGAAGGCACGCCGAGGTGGAATTCACCACCGACTGGCAGAAGGACGCGGAGCGCAGAGACCTCACTATAAATTCTATGTTTCTAGGTAAGACGTGGAGAGAAAATGAGGTTTCGAATCGGCCTGAGCGCCTTCTTTTCAAGTGAAACTCGAAACGTGCAACCCGAGCGTTCGTGTAGGTTTCTTCTGAGAGACAGGGCGGCTCTGGAGCGGGGAGCCGGGTTCAGGTGCGGGCGCGTCACTTGCCGGCTGTGCCGCAAGGGCCTGGACGTTAGGCACCTCTAGGGTTGTCGTGAGGGCTGCGGGAGGCGGTGAGCTGGGCCTTCCAACAGGGCCGGGCCGTGGACACGCAGTCAGTGTTAGCTTACGGATCACGTGCGAACGCGGTGACGTTTTGGGTAAGGAGAGGGTACACACACACATGCACATACACATGCACACACAGGTACACACACGCGCACACGACACAGGCACACGCACACACGCACATGTGTGCGCGCACGCGTGTGCACACGTACATGCAGGTGCGCACACACAGACGCACGCACATGCACACACGCACGCACTTCGTGTCACGCCTCTTCCTCTCTGCCGTCCTTCATGGTGCAGGCCACCCTCTGCTTGGCGCCCCGTGGACGCTGGCGTGTGCCACCCGCCCCTTTCGGTTGCTGAGCCCGTGCAGGGCCAGCCCCTGTCCCGTATGGCGTCTGGGAGCCGCCATCTTGGATGGGGCAGGCCGGCAGGAGGAAGCCTGTTTATCGTCCCAGCTCAGTTCTGCCAGTGGACGCAGTGAGACTCCTGACAGGAGCAGATGCGAGTTAGGTTAGTGTTTTGGTCCATGATGGAATCATTATTTTTTGTACTTTATGTTTTAGAAGAGTCCCTTACATTTAAGACGCTGCATTAGTGAGAGATGCAGCATCCGGTACCCTAATGGGCCGCGGCGACAGTGACAGTGTAGGGTGAAGTCAGGATCAGCTTGGCGGGATGGAGAAGGGGGCTGCGGGCCAGGGCAGGATCTCTCGCTAGTGACGTCAACGACAGGTCGCGTTTTAGAGACACAGCGGTGGTCACTGCACGTACGCCGTGTCACTTAACTCTCAGATGACCTTCATGATGTGGGTAAAACCCATCTGACACGTGAGGAAACTGACTCAGAGATGCTAAGCAATGCGGCCTGAGCAGGTTGCAGAGCCAGGTGACTCACGACCCACGGGAGCCCCGTCTTGGCCAGGCTCCGGGCCTTGTCCCCTCACGGCCACACACGCAGCGTGGACATACAGCCTGTGGACAGACAGAGCTTCTCATCACGAACTTAACTGGGAGGTAGAAACTAACGTACTTTTGCAAGATGCTGTTTCATAAACATCAGAGCCGGTCTGATGGGCACCCGAGTTTTCAAACGCTGGCTGACCCTCGCCACATGCCAAGCGCTGTCTAAGCGCGTCACACGCGTGTAATCGGCCCTGGGAGGCAGTGCTGCTGTTTCTCCCACAGTGACTCGGTGACTCGCTCCGAGGCACACGGCTCAGAAATCGGGGAATCAGATTCCAGCTCCAGCAGCCTGGCCCAGGGGCTCGTTCTTCCCCTCCGCCTTGGTCTCAGCGACTCATCTTTCTCATTTCCAGTCAGCGCATTTTAAAAGAGTGGCGTTCAGACAAGACAGTGGACCCCAAGGGGACACTCACTGATCTCCTTGCAGTCCTTTGTTTCATTCTGGTCCAGGCTTTTTTCAGGCTTTATTGGATGAGACATTTCTCGTTCTGGTTGTTTCGCAAGTCCTTATGTTTGCTTTTGTCAAATCGCAAGTTTTTTCCTCCAAATTTTGCTCTTTTCTGCAAAAGACCTTAGTACTTCCACATTCACCAGGGCGAGTTCAGTCTCTTCACTAAGAAGCCGATGTGCCCCATTTATTTACGTTACTTTGTAATTATATTTTAGTCCTATTTACTTGCTTTTTTTGCCTTTTCGTTTTTTATTCGTTTGAATCTGGGGTCTTTTAAATTTGCCGCATGTGTCAAAGTACCATATAACCCAAAACACCGCGGGGAGTGCGGAGCCTGAGCTGACCAGTATTGTTGCACTTGGGATCATGGAAGAGCAGTCACGTTCAAACAGGACTGCAGTAACAGGTGGTTATTTTTCCTAAGTCAAGGCAGAGCTTCCTTCTTCGATGCCACACGTGCCGGAGGGTCGCCGCCTCCCCCTGCGGATGGCTGAACGGTGCCTGTGCCTCCGCTCCACTGCTGTCCTTCCTAGTCCCGATGGTGGCCTCTGTCTCAGTTTGCTTAGAACTGAGACATTCCCTGAGACACACGCCAGTTTCCATTCTGAAATCAGGAAAGTCCTAGGTTGACCGGGATGAATTTGGTCACTCCGCTAATTCCTGAAGTTTTAGGAGACTTACATTAAAATCATCTCACCCGTTTTTTCTTTCCGCTTAGCATATGAGAGAACATGGTCGTGGAAATCGTTTTGTCTACAGCTTTTTTGGAATGGCTGTTAGGTTCACATGGTTCAAAATTCACAAAGTGAAAATCTGCTTGTTTGATGTCTGGTTCTCTCTGCCCCTACTTCTTACTAGCATTTTTCCTGTTGGGTTTATTCTTGAGTATGTTATCGTTTTTAGTTGCTGTTGGAGATGCAGCCTCTTACTCTATCACATCTTCCATTCGATAGTGAATACGGATGAATGCTATTGACTTCTGTATTTTAACTTTACAACTCTTAACCGTGCTTAATTTTACTGTTTGTGAGTTTTTAGCTGATTTTCTTATGTCATCTAATTCTTGTTTTTCCAGTCTGATTCTTTTTTACTTTTTATTGCGGCATGTTTGATATACAACGTTATTAGTTTCAGGTATACAACATAATGTGATATTTGTATATGTGGTGGAATGATCACAATAAGTCTAATTGACATTCGTTACCACAGTTACAAAAGTGTTTTTCCTAGTGATGAGAACTCTTAAGATCTACTCTCTTAGTAACGTTCAAGTATGCAGTAGAGTATTATTAACTGCAGCCACCATGCTGTACAGTACATCTCATAACTTTTGTATTTTGTACTGGAAGTTCGTACCCTTTGACCCTTTCTCTCGGTACACCCACCGCCACCCCTGGCAGCCACCAGTCTGTTCTCTGGTTCTATGAGCTCAGTTTTGTTGTTGTTCAGGTTCCACATATAAGTGAGATCCTACAGTTTTGTCTTGCTCTGTCTGACTTATTTCACTCAGCATAATGCCGTCAGGGCGCATCCATTGTCACAGAGGGCAGGATTTCACTCTTTTATGGCTGCATACTACTCCACTGTGTGTGTGCACGTTATTTTCCAGTTCTTATTTGCTAATAGTCGTTTTTCTTTCCTCTTTTCTAATGAATAGGTTTTGATGGTACTTTGTTTGACTACTTTAATGGTTATGAAGATTTAAAAAATAAGAAAGTGAGATTTGTCGGACATGCTAAACAGAGGATACAAGAAGATTATCTTCGAATTTTAAGGTATTTCAGGTAAGAATTTTATAAAATTAATGATATAGTTTTTACTGTTATTACTAGAGCACAATCCTGACCATGCGAAACGCACAGCAGGTCCGTGTGCAAAACGGTCCCTCCCAGGTGTCTTTCTCCGGTAGAGACTTAGCCAGCTACAGTGTCCCCCCGCCCCCCGAACACACATACGGTTTCACTTCACAGGGTTCCAGTTACCCAGGGGCAGTCACCGCCTGAAAATAGTAAATGGAAGTTTCAGAAATAATTCATAAATTTTAAATTGCACGCTGTGTGAGTAAGGTGGTGGCATCTTGTGTCGTCCTCTGCGTCCTGCCCGGGACACGAGTCATCCCTTTGTCCAGTGTCCGCACCTGTGTACGCGCCCACCTGTTAGTTACTTGGTGGTTGTCTAGCTTATCAGATCGGTGATCAGAGAGAGAGAGAGAGACCACGTTCACACAACTGCAATTGTCGTCCATTGTTATAGCTATTCTATCATTACTTGTTGTTAATCTCTTATTGTCGTCCATTGTTATAGCTATTCTATCATTACTTGTTGTTAATCTCTTACTGCACCTAATTTATAAAGTCAGCTTTACCGCAGGTGTGCGCGTGCGTGCGTACGGGCAAAGCGGTACACACGGGGTTCAGTCCCGCCCATGGTTCCGGGCATCCCCTGGGGCTCCTGGAATGTGTCCCCGTGGATAAGGAGGGAGGGACCGCTGTGTGACCTGTGAGATGTTACTTAGATACTTCACATTTCCATCCCCAAACGTGCACAGACCCACCCCATGCTGATTACCTTTTGTCTGCGTCAGCCATGCATCATTTCCAAAACATCCAGCTTCCTTTTCGACTGAGCATTTCCTGTGCCGCCCCTTCGCTGCGTGGTGGCTGAGCACCAGGCGCTTCGTGCACGTGGCGGCCGGAGGCCCCAGCTCCCTGGGGCTGACACCCTGGGTGGTCGCGGGGGCTCCCAGGTGGGCCACGTGAGTGTGGACGGCTGCAGCAGCTGGTTTTGTGCGGAGCGAGGACTTAAACTCTGACTCTAACCTCTCTGTAAGCTGTGCCGGCGGGCCACCTTATGCCCAGTAGTAGTAATTTTTCACAGGTTGGGATCACTCAGCATATTGTCACATCCTGCATGTTTTGTCGACGAATGTTTTTCCTGTAAATGCGAGTATCTGCGGCATCTCTTTATAGAAGCCAGGACACGGCTGAGACTTAGCCATGGCCACGCAGGCATCTCGTTGAGCTGCCGATGAGCTGAACGGGGCCTGTGAGGCTTCTGGCCCTGGGAGCCCAGGGAATGCACCCGTGTCAGCGGCTCAGTTTGTCACGCTTGACACCCTTCCCGGCAGCACTGATGCGTGCGGCAGGCCGGCCCTGAGGGCTGGGGCCGCGCCGGCTGGCGTTCCTGTCCTCTGCGGCACCTTTGCAGAGGCGCTGGCTGCTTCAGCCAGGGCAGGTACCAAGTGGGCCGGTCACATGGCCACCCTGCACCTCTGTCGTGGCTGGGAAGTGAAAGTGAGGCGGGTGCTGGTTCTCACCAGCTTTGAGAAGGTTACTTATCTTACGGTGGATCTGGGGTTTTTTCATCTGGGGAAGAAGAGAAGCAACTAATTCCACGTTGCTTCTGATGAAGCGGGTGTGTGGGTCAGTCCCAGGAGAACGAAGGACAGGTTTTTCTGGGTGGCACGCCAGCGTAGAGGCGGTCCACTGTGAGGATTTTGTTTTGTAGGTTTTATGGGAGAATCGTAGACAAGCCTGGGGACCACGATGCTGAGACTTTGGAAGCAATTGCAGAAAATGCAAAAGGCTTGGCTGGAATATCGGGCGAGAGGATTTGGGTAGAACTGAAAAAAATGCTTGTTGGCAACCACGTCAATCATTTGATTCACCTCATCTATGACCTTGATGTGGCTCCTTACATAGGTGAGGCCGAGTGAGAAAGTATTTGCATTTTTGGCAGTGAAACTGGTGGTTTAAAATGTCATAGGAGAAAACGTTTGACTAACTTATTTGAAGAATTCTAAAAGAGGAAATGGAATATGTAAAAATAAGATTAACTTTGAGAACAGGATAGGACGGTCTGGTCACGGGTCGGGGACATCTCAAAGACCACAGAGGGTAGTGGTTCAAAGTGGCCCTAGAGCCAGACCGGAGTTCGAATGAGGCTTTGCCACTTACCAGCTCGCTGAGGTGGGTTCTTTCCTTACCTGGTCGTTTCTGAATCTAAAACTGAGCTGTGAACATAACAGCACCGTCCGACGAGGGGCTGCGAGCCGGGAGCTCGTAGTGTGTGACACTCAGAGGGGCGACGTGCAGGTCGTTCCATGAGTGTCGCAGTCAGCGTTCAGACGGGACAGTGCATCGTGTCGTCTACTCGCTTCCGGAAACTCGGGTCTGTTTACGTGAAGACTGGGTTATTGAGGGCGTGGGTGATCTGCGGTCACACGGCGGTGGGCAGTCAGTTTGCCATTGGATTGCGTCCCTTGTGGGTCTGATACCACCGTTACCGCCACCTCTGTCCCGGTGGAAACCAGGGCCCTCCTTGATGCTGGGGACGAGATGGGCGGGGACGGCGTTTCAGCGGCCCCTGTAGTCGAGTGTCAGACTGGCCCGCAGTGAGCCCTAGTGACAGGCGTTTTTGTGACCCAAGACCAGTACAGCATGTGTTTCTCATTGAACGTAGCCACTGCACAATGGGGCGGAAACGCTTTTCTCCCTGCAGGCTTACCGGCTAACGCAAGTTTAGAAGAATTCGACAAAGTCAGTAGAAATGTTGAAGGGTTCTCACCCAAGCCGATGACTCTCTTGGCCTCATTATTCAGAGTGCAGGACGATGTCACAAAGTTGGACGTGAGGCTGAAGATTTCAAAAGAAGAGAAAAACCTTGGTTTGTTTATAGTTAAAAACAGGAAAGATTTAATTAAAGCGACGGACAGTGCAGAACCATTGAAACCTTATCAAGACTTCGTTATAGACGTAAGTATACACCAGGCTTGTCAGAACGTGATTCATCTTCACTGAGAGGAAAGCCGGTTTATTGATGCTAGGACCTGCCGTATGTTCTGGGGTCGTCATTTATTTTAAACGGAAATTTCACATCGAGCATTTATTTAGATTTTAGGGTGAGATTGTGAGCCAGCTTTCTCCCGTGCGATGACACTAAACGTTTGGTTTTGGCCCTTAGTGCAGGGAATCCGATGCCACGACGCGTGTGTGCGAACTGCTGAAGTACCAGGGCGAGCACGGGCTCCTCAGGGACATGCAGCAGTGGTCCATCCCTCCGTTCCCTGTGAGTGGCCACGACATCAGGAAGGCGGGCATTTCCTCCGGCAAAGAAATCGGGGCTCTACTGCAGCAGTTGCGGGAACAGTGGAAGAAAAGCGGCTACCAGATGGGAAAAGACGAGCTTCTGAGTCACATAAGGAAGACCTGAGGTCCCCCGGGCCGGTCCCCGCAGGGCCGGGCGGGCGTTCCCGGTAAGACGCCTGTGCGCCTCTCTCCCCCGAGCGATGTTGAAGGGACTGGACCGTGTGGCGGAATGAAAGCCAGCGTGGAGGACCTCCTCAGGAAAATAAAGGTTTAATTTTGTGAAATAGAATTGTTTCTGACACTAATCTGATGTCCTCCTTCTCTTACTGATATACATCGCTGAGCCGTATTCTTTTGGGCTGTTGGCTAAGACAAGCGGAGTTGGCTTCATCTTTTTCTTTTATTTTTTTTAGGGCAGTAATAACTTCTATCTCAAAAAGTGGTATCGCAGAACTTTGAAAAGAGTATTTCTTGGCGGTGTTTGCAATTGAAATAACTGGGCTATTTTATACAATTGCCTAAGATAAGTGTCAGTTCTTAGCTGAATTCCTAAATAAACGTGTACTTGAAAATAGCTGACATTTGCATAAGATATCCTGTATAAAATGGGACCAGATGTGTCCCGGGTGGCTGGCATTCACACACCCCAGACTTGTTTTCGTAGGAAGGTGACAGCCGACTCCGCCCTCACCGGGCGAGCGGGGCCTGGCAGAGGCTGGCCCGCACGTCAGCGTTCCTGTCCCGAGCGCTCCCTTTGGAACTGGAAGGTGTGCTCACCTGCCGGTGCACCCCGGGTGCCTTTCTCTAGGGAAGAGGCCATGGCGTACCCCAGACTCCCTGAGCAGGCCTCCGCGCTCGCTCTTTAGCGAGCCGTGGGCGGACAGCACACAGTGCTCCTCGCCATATTCTGACGTGCGGAGTCACTCTTCCTCTCCCTGTGGCCAGTCGTAGCATCTCCGTGCCCTGTGGGCAAATAGCAGTGTTTCTATTCAAGCCCAGCCGAGGGGACTTGTGAAAAAGTCGGTGTAACGGGGAGCCTCAGAACAGCCGCACACAGGTCAGTGATGAACCTTTTCATAAAAGTATTCGCTGAAATTTTTAAGTACTGCTGGATATGTATTTGGACCCAACAGCACAGAATTCCTACTATTCTCTATGCAGATTGAGGTGTTTCGGAGGTCTGGTTTCGTCATGTATAAAACACTAACATAGCATGATATGCACGTTTTCTCATATTAGAGTTTTATTTGCAAGAGTCAGGAAACAGCGTGGAACGTTCTGAGATCACATCCTTCGGGGCAAACGTAAAAGCCAGTCCCCTCTCTGCAGCCGTGCTAGACTTGAGGGTAGAGACTGCCGTGCCCCTGGCGCTGAGCTTTAGTCCCTGTGACCACGTGACGACCCGGCAGCCATCTCGGCGCCTTGTGTCAGTGGCAGTGGAGCTATTACTCGGGTGCTGAACGAGGCGGCGGCACAGGCAGAGCCGACAGCCGACAGCGTGCTCGCGTTCCTTTTATGTGCGCTCCTTACACAGAGATGCAGCACGATACTCGGCCGATGTTTTCAGTCAAGGCAGTCAGAACCACTGCGTGTTTGGTAAAAGACAAGATACTGATAAACCGAGATACAAGAAATTTAACAGGCCGTTTTAGCCTCGTGTTTTACCCGATCAGTTGAACTTTTCCCACTGAATTATGGAAAGCAGGGAAGGGTTAGCAAAATGAGAGTTAAAGTTGAACATATCAGCAAAGAGGCAGGTGGCACATCGGTCTGTCTAGAACTTTATCTCAAAAATTACTTATACCTAAATTATCTGCTTATGAGTGGATATTTTACATTATTTAAACAAAGAACATGTTTGATTTGGTTTTGCTCTTAAAGTTTACTTACACATTCTCTTCAGTTTACACAAACAGGAGAGCCTAAGGACAGTCACTTCTAGTCCGTGTGAGGGGAACGTTTTAGCATCTGTGCCCCACGGTAGTTTAGGTTCAGATTGAACTGGAGCAGAACCACCAGTGTTACATACAGTTCAAACACACGCTGAGCAAACACACAAAACTGTTTTTTAAACTAACAAACACGAAGACAATGAAAACTTTATTCTGGGGCTCGCAATGCATATTTTAACTCTTTTAATATTTTCAAAATTTACAAACCAGTATCTCAGGGGAACTAAGTTGAAAGGAGCAAAGCCCTTTTAAAATAGCGTACACTTCCTTGCCTCTCTCAGAAGGGGCACTCGTGCCGGGCGCCCCGGCTCGCGGAATTTCTGCCACTTGGCGCTCTGGCGCGGACGTGCGCCCCGGAAGTCACGGCCAGTGGCTAGCCTGGCGTTACGGGAATTCCAAACACTTCTGAAACAGTCCCCTGTCTTTCAGAGACGTCTTGACGGCCTGATCCCTGGGGTGGTGGCAACAAGCTACAGTCCATCTTCCGACCACCAAGTGTCGGCTGCTTTCTGTCCTCCACAGTGCATTTCAGCTCAGACCTTCAAATTCCGTTTGGCTAAGAAGCTGCAACCTTCCATGGAATGTTGCTTTTTACGTAGGTGTGCATCAGAAGCAGTAATTTCCAAAGCAGATCTGATTTTAGAATACCAACTTGCTACATAAGTTTACCCCCAACCGTATGTGTTTACAGGCAGAGTACTACTTTGTCTGGGCTTATCTCATCTTCGGTGTCTGGGATCGTGGGCAACAGAGCAGATCGAGTCAAACCCCAAAATTTTTGAGGTGACATATCTTTCTTGGTGGCTGTAAATTTCCATCCAATATGGCTTGCACAGATCTTGCACTGGGCAACAGTCCAGGCAAACCTACAAAATGAAGGGAAAGTATCAGCTAAGGAATCACATTTCTGTGCCTCAAGCTTATAACATAACCTGTTAGGAAGACAGATCTACGGCCAAATCCTAAGGCTCAAGAACAAATACTCTGAGCTACACGGTTCCTTGAAACACAGTCCATAAAAAGATTTTTTAATTTGTATGTTTCCCACTTAACTATGCAAGGATGTGGAGATTGGATAACGAAGAGAGTTGCAACATGGAGCTGGAGGAGAGGGCTGTGACGCCCCGGACCACCAGGAAGACAGGGCTGGCCTGAACAGCGTGTTGAATAAGAGTGGACAATCCAGCCAACGTGGTGCTAGGCCCAGAGCAGCGAGCGGACTCACTAATCCCTGCCGTCTGCTGCTTTCCAAGAAAAACGGGACTGACCCAGGATTTGGATGGAACGCGAGACAGGTAACGGCTCTGGACGACAGTCTGGCTGGGGACGCAACGCGAGGAAGGCGGAGCTGGACAGTGCTCTCACGAGTCACAGAGCGCGCTCCCCACACGGCCTTCCTGGGTCGCGACCCCGCGACTCCCCGTGAGCTGACAGGAAATGCGGTGCGTGCGCCTTAACTGGACGCTCACCTTCTTTCTCCCTAACTTTACATTCAACAAGACGATGCAGAAACAGCTGTCTCCAGCCGTTCGTGAAATGAAGGCCACGTGAATGGCGTTCATTTCACTGTCTGGTTCTGATTATAATTCTAACTGCTTGTCTGCCCAGGAACCTGTGTGTTTCTGCAAAATCAGGGAAAAACCAAAAAACACCAAAGTCACCAGCAGCACATTACCCGGGAAACCAGCTGTGCTCTGTGGAAGGCCGGCCTATCAGGTTCAAGTTGGAGGCCTTATACACGGTCAGTGTCTCGTGCACGTAGCCGTGAGGATTCACGTAAGCCGCCATCGGCCCACATAAGGACAGACTACAACAGAATCAGCACAGAGGATGAGTCAAAATGGGGAAAAAGCCTCAAACATGTTTAAAAAGCTGACCAAGAAATGCATTACGGAGCTACTGTTTTTAACCCTTCAGTCAGTTTTAGATGCTGTCAACCTCGGCAGGTTAGCAAGGGGCTTGTCGGTCCAGATGGCTCTCAAGCTGGCCGACAGGAGGGCGCCCTTGGGAGGAAAGGCCAGAAGCCCCGGCCGGCCCTCCCCTGTGCCAGCAGCCTCCTCACTTCCACGGTCTGTAACCACGACCTCGTCACGAAACACCCTCAAACACCGCTGCGTCACCACACCAGGCCACACGCAGCAGCATGTCCTGCTCTGTCCCAGGCCCTCTGCGGTGGAACCCACGTTTGCCTGAAACGCGAGGCTGGAGGCGGGCCTGGGCGGACCCCAGTCCCCAGGCAGGTGTGCTGGGGTTTTCGGCAAGTGGGGGGCAGGGCCACCCCATTTTCTCTGTCGTTGCTGTCAGCGCCCCATCGGGAGGACGTCTCACCTGACCATGAACTAACTCCCCACATTGTAACTAAGGCAGGACGCTTCTGTGAAGGCCGCCGGGAAAACGCACCCAGAATTTTACAAAAGACACAGTGGAGCTCTCACCTGAATATTTCATTTTTGGTGGTTATTTCTGTTTCTTGGCACTGTTTACAGCAGAGAGACGTGCACTAGAAGAGGGAAGGGGTTAGTGGGGCGCCACAGTCACGTGATGCACCGAGCCCCCCAAAGCCACCTTTACCTCCCCGACACTCAAAACTGGAGCCTCAAAGGCAGAGCAAGAAAACACGACCCGAGGCCTGACACGCGCTCACGCGCACGACGCGCGACCCTCTGGGACAGAGAAGGCGGCTGACACGCAGCCGTCCCAGGGATGATGCTGAGCAGAGAAAGGGGTTCACAGCTGAACAGCGCAGAGCAGTTCAAGCTCGTCTGTGACCCCAGGTGACATGCGTACTGTCCTTGTCCTCTCCCGGTTTTCCAGCGGCAGGTCTACGTGGTGGCCCCGGGGTGGCCCGTCGCCCCGACAGTGCAGCCCCGCTCTAGGCCGCCACAAACCTGCCGCCTCCTCACCTTGTTCATGATGTCCAGTTCACAGCGGAGCCGCTGGATGGCGCTGCCGATTTTAAGGAGCTGAATTCTTAACGCGTCGTCAATAGGGAGACAGGCAGCTACTCGGTAAGAAAAATCTGCAAGACATGGGTTTTTCAAGTTCGAAACTGACGAAGCAGGTACCTGTCAGATAACTGATGAGGCAACAGTGCCCTGTTGCAGTCCTGACACGGTTCCCCAAGACACAGTTCCCGCAGTGACAGACACTGCTCAATGCACCAGCCATCGAGTGTAGGCTCTCTGGAGGTTTAAACGCAAGTTCTTTTCCGATACTTGCTTTTATAAACGTCTTCTTTTAAATTAAACAAAAGCTTCACACAAATTACTTCCTAAGAGACTAGAAACATAGCTAAGTGGCACCTAAATAACGGATACAGAGGTCACATGCAAATAAGGTCAGTTTTGGGACGGGGTCACCTTCAGGCACCTTAACGAACGGAAAGGAGTCTGCATTTGCCTAAAACTGGAGTGTCCGCAGCACTTAAGAAGTTGGTTACGATTTAATTAAAAAATACTTTAAAAAGAAAACTGCTCAAAACAAAGGAAATGTGTGCTTTTCAGAACTAATAAAGATATTAGTTTAAAAAAAAAACCTAAAATTCTTGGTTTCATTAAACAGAAAACATCATTTCTTTCTGTGTGACGTCACAGGCCACAGGAAGGAAACTGACTTCATACCTATTGGATTTGCAGGAAGAGAATCATCTTTTAGATTTTCATCCCATTCACGCAGCTGTTTCTTGATTCTATTCATTAAAGTTTCCTAGTTTAAAATAAAAGTACCCATGATAAGGTTGAGACCTTTTACAGTTTACTGTCAGCTCTTCAACATCAGCAGCAGTGTAGGTCACCACGTGCAGTAAAATCTGCGCTAACGTCTGAACGTGTCCGTTTTATGCCTTGCGGGCGCCCTCCCCGCTTCTCAGCCACCTGGAGTGGCCTCTCCGCCCCCTTCCAGGAGCCTGGTCCACGGTGGCCCCTGTAACCGCACTCGCCCTGCCCGCTGCACAGCTCACTCGTCACCTGCTCACTGTGAGAATGCACGCAGACGACACTCTGCACCACGCATGTGCAGTGGCTGGAAAGCTGCGGGGCAGGGTGAGCCGTGGTCCCCATCGGCGCGGTGCTGGCGGGAGTGCTCGGAGCCCTCTGCGTTTGCCCCGGAGCCAGCACCCGGGGGCAGGCGACTCACAGAGGGAGACGCGTGACGTGTGCTGCGTGCCGAGTGCGGCAGGAAGCACCGCCCCGTCTCACGCCGCGTGCGGCAGCTAGCACCGCCCCGTTTTACAGACACTTAAGCAATGGGCCCTGAACCACAGCCGGCACCGGGGAGCTGTCTGAGGACCCGGGTTCTCTGCACTATCGTTCCAGCAGGCCGCTGCTCGGGGAGTTCTGCGTGAGGGGGCCACGCCTAGTGTTCAAATGAGCAGAAACGCTCGTGGCCACGTCAGTGCAGTACCCTGCCTAGGGGTCAGGAGATAACACGTTAACAGACTCATTCAGAAAAAAAACAAACACTGTTAAAGGGTTCTGGAACTTTCCAAGTGTCACTAACACTTGACCCAACAAAAGTTCAAATGCTTCACGAGCCTTAAAATATCTCAACATCTCATCCTGAAGTTAAAAGGCTTAGAAACTGGGAAAACAAAATCTTGTACGTTAAAGGCAAAGTCTACCTGCAGTCTGATCCCTGCCTGTTCTCCTTAAGTGTAACAGATGGCGTTGGTCTTGGGTGGGAAATACCACTGAGTGTGAATGCCTTTGTTTTGTTCTAATGGTCCGTAATCCTGCCCACGTGCCCAAGAAACAAAAAGTTCAAGGTGAGTTACTTACAGCGTCATATAATGAATACAGCCAGCGAGGCCATGAAGTCAAATTTGCACAATGAAACTTTCTCTGAAAACAGAAAAAAAAGTCACTAGTAAAGTGATCTCACACAATGAAGATTCTTATGGTGGAAAGAGCCACATCTGAGAAATGATTTTGGTCCAGGAAAACACTTTTAATTTCAAAAAGATGAAAACTTTGGTAGATAATCCCATAAAAGAGGATTATTAAATTTGACAATCATGTTTTTATATCCTTCAAATGTATATTGCAACTAGAGTTTTGATTCTTTTAAAAATGTTCAAATATTAAAATTTCAGTACTGAGGACAACCTAGCAAAAACAAGATGAGCCTGAAGCATGACTATGTACTTTTACTGACCACGTTATCTGCCTTTCTAGTAATAAGTACCCGTCCAGCATCTACAGTGAAAACCTCAAATTATAACCCGACTGTCTTTGTGTAAAAGCTTTAAATGGCTCTTGACTGAATCGCCATGAAGGCCAATAAGTGAGCCAGTTCCAGAAATAAAATGATCATCTATACCTGACACTTCACGATCTGGTCCCCGTTTCATAAAGCTCAGGGACGGGGGAAAACCATGACGTATGTCTTCCTGTCGTATATCAGGATCAGAATGGAAGCATGCCCACACACAAAAATGTGAATTGTACTTAAAATTCCTGTAGAATTCCAGTATTTGATGGAAAGACTCAATACTTATGGTGTCCTCAAAATATACGTTCAGTGCAGTACCAATGAGAATAGAATTTAGAAGCATACTTTAAAGTTCATCTGGAAAAATAAAAGTGTAAAAGCAAGAACGTTGGAGAGAAATATTTCTCACGACACAAAAATATGACGCATCCGCAGCAGTTCTGTTAAGAGCGAATGGAACAATCCCACAATGAGGTGCTGAGATGCGACGGACTGTCCGGTGAGGTGGGACACTGGGGACGGGGTTCACTCTGAAAGCAGCAGCAAGGCCTAGAAAACGAGCCTGCCCCCTGTGGAGACCGGCCGCGCCCTTACGCCTCAGAACTGTGGCTTCAGCTTTGCCTCCCGACAACGCAGAATGTTCAAAACACACGCGACTCCACTGAAATGGTTTTCTGAAGTGCAGTGGCAGTAACTGGAAGAGCTGTGGAGGGCTCGGCGCGTGGTGACAGAGGGGGCCACTGCAGGAGGAGATCCTATCACGATCAGCAGCGTAAACGATGCCACCCGCCCAGGTACCTCAGCGGCCACCAGTCTGTTCCTCCCTTCACCAGACTCCTGCTCGCTCGCCAGGACTGGCACGGAACGACAGCCTCCGCCCGCTCTGGGGGCTCGCGAGCTAGTGACGCAGGTGCCCGCGCTGTGAGGACGTCCCTGACCACACATAGCCCGCGACTTCAAGACGCTGCTTGTTTTCAGTGTAAACACAGACAACAAACGTCGCCCTGACACCGCTGCTGGTGCTCTGGAACGAGGCGTGAACGACTGTCAGCTTCACAGGGAAAAGCGAATGAGCAGTGAGAGTCAAACCACCTTGAAAAAAGAGCCGTGAGGGGTTGCGGGCCACGCGTTTGCTGACACGTGGACCGTCAGCAGTGGAAACAGCATCGTGCTGACACCAGCAGAGGACGGGCCGGGGGCGCCTCCGGGGAAAGGAGAGTCGGCGTCGCACCCAGAGGCCCCACGTGGGTCCGCGCTTAAAGGTTCTGATTCCACTTAGAGACGAGGTCGAAAGTAAAATGATTACATTTTCAAATTTTTTTAAAAAAATTCCTTCGCACAGAGAAGTCATTTCTAGGTTCTAGAATATAGAAGTATTAAAAAAAATTCAACTACATTAAAAAAAAAAATGCTACTGTGTGACAACACACCAAAAACAAAGTCAGAGATGGCAAACTAGGGAAATGTCCGGAGCCCATTCACCAGGGACAGACACTTCCGGCCGACAGAGGAGTGTCAGTCCCTTCAGGCACCCAGCGTCACGCCTCAGTCACAGAGACGTGCGGCCTCCAGCACGATACTGTACTTCACTCATCACATCGTCTGCAAAGCCCTGGTGACACGGCCAGAGCACGAGCAGGAACAGCCCGCTCAGGCAAGGACTCTGGACGTGTCAGGGTGACTAACGCGGTGGCCTGTCGTCCAGCCAACCCGCTTCTCAAACTGTAGCTGACGCCACCTGTGTGCAGGTGCCACCCCTGGGGACCAGCTCTGAACCACAGGGCGTCACACGAGCGAACATGGCAGCTTCCCAAAGACGGACACCCGCTCCAAAGCCTGAGACGGAAGGGCCGCCCCCACCGGCCGAGGGCGGGGTTCGGTCCACGGCAGCCCGTGACATCACATGAGGAAGCGGACAGGCCAACCTGCTCCCCTTGGAGGCCGCCCTGGGACATGCGCTCGGGCCCTCCCGGCCCCGGGGCTAAGCCGGAGCCAGCACGGGAACAGTGGAAGGCTGAGCTCCGAAGGCGGCGCTGGCACGCTTCCCCACCGCGGCCTTCCTGCCCGCCACACTCGGCTCTGGCTGCCAGGCTGCAGGTGGGCAGAGGCGCCCCCGCCGTGTGGGCACCGCCCCAGGAGAGCCACCGGGGGAGGGACTGCGCGGGCATCAGCTTCAAAGGCGGGACCACAGAACGAGGCGGGCCTACCGGCCTCGCTCCGTGATCACCGGGGACTTCGCCAAGGACCCTCCTGTCAGAACGAGGCTGCCGGGAGCCTCCCAGGATGCTCTGTTCTCAGTGCACACGCTGAGAGAAACGTGGGGTTCGAGGTTAACTGACCACGTCCCAGGAGCACTCCACTGCGGGGCCCTCTGACTCTCAGTGCCTTTTCTGCTGCAAAGGCAGGGGGCCAGCGACTGGCTTGAGTGAGCTCAGGGTCACCCGAGCCTCCTGCGACTCTGACCACGCCGGCCCCTTCAGACACGAGCCCCCGGGATGCACGGCTTCCGGTTGCGGGCTGTACAGGTCACGTGAACCGACCACAGAGAGGAGTGGATGGAGCCCCAGACCTGTGCAGACTCAAGCGCTGCTGGGTCATCTGGCGCCAGGATCAGTCATAGTCCAGCTACAGGGGCGGTGAGGCCAGTGCCACCTGCCACCCCACCCGCCTGCCCTAGACTGACGGGCTCTACGTGGTCTCCCCAAAGTAGGGCGGTCTGTAGATCTCCTGGGGTCCAGAATAGATCGGCTGCCAATCCCTCGTGGCCTAGTGACCTAGATGCACATTTCAGAGCCCAGCAAACTCTACTCGGAGTTTAACCCAGAGAACCCTTTAACCAGTGTGCAAGGCACAGGGGCTGGAGCAGCGTGCACCCCAAGAGTGCGCGTTCTCTCGTCCTCAGCCCCTTCCGTCCCGTCCCTGGCACCCGAGAACACACAGACCGTGGGCGAGTGTTCCAGAATGCAGGAACACTGGGCGCTGAGACGAGGGTGAGGTTGGAGGGGCTGGGCCCCGACAAGCGCCGCCGGCCTGGGCTCCCCACGCCATCTGTCCTCGCCACGCAGGGCCCGTGAGAACCCCGCTGCCAAGGCCTGACCGGTGGACAGGAGCAGGCTGAGCTGCCCCAAGCAGACTCTTACCCTGGACCCCAAGGCTGTGATCAGACGGCCAGGTCCGGCCAGGACGACTTTAGAGCAGCAGAGTCACGGTCGCCCTGCACTTAGAAGTTTGCAAAGCGGTCATCTTGATTTCTGCATGCTTCGCCACGTTTGACACCCCGTCGCGGTGTGGAGGGACTGTTATAAAAGTCAAAATGCTTACCGCCTCCCCCAAAACGTCCAGCGACTGAAACCCACGACCATCGGAATACGGCAGTGCAGCAGCGTCTCGCGAAGTCTGTCAGCGCACTGCCCCAGGGCCTCCCAGTGCCCAGCACGACTCAGCACTGAACCACGACGAAGCCCCAAACCCCTCCCGGAAGCCCAGGTTCCCGTACGGACTCACAGTCACACTTCCGAACCTCCCACTGTCCTGTTAAAATCAACGAGGGGGGCAGGACACTCAGGGTCTGGCTAGGGCCCGAGGAAGTCTCGCACGGCTACACGACTGCCGCCCATGAACTTCAGGCTGTGCCTGTCAGGCCCGTTAGGATCTTAGTTTTGGGGCTGCTTGAATCTTCAGGCAGTTGCCTTGTAACTTTCTCACTAGGCTCTTCTCGGACACGCTAGTCGAAGCACACCATGCCGTGTCACCGGCTGTCAGCTAGAACACGGAGTACCAAGTCCCAAGAACAGGGAGCGGGAGTCCCCAGGTCCTGCCTGGGGCTGGGTGAGTGCGGCCTCAGACCATCGGGCCTCCTCCGAGAGGGTCCCCGTGAGTCACGCCCACGGCGCAGCCTCCCCGCTCTGCCTCCCCCAGCCCTGCCATGGGGGCGGGGGGAGGATTTTCCCACGTTAGACGAATCTCAGCCGGCCAACTTATTCCACGCTTAAAAACTAGCAAACTCTTCCTTTAGGCAGAGATCACAGGTGTCAACATTTCATGCATCTCACATGTGAGCAAAGACAGGCTTGTCTGCCTTTTCCCACGAGAGCGACCTGGCCGAAGGGGTGCGTGAGGATCGCGCCCGACAAGGCGCCTGCCCCAGCGCCCGGGCCCCCCATCTGTGCTGTGGCCGTGCTGGGTGAGCCGGCGAGCAGCCCCTGTCACAGGAGCTGCAGGGAGGCGGGCACGCTCAGGTGCTGCCCCAAACCCGCCTTTAAGGTCACGTGTTTATGACTCGGGGGCCAAACACCTGATGCGATTCGAGTTCAGGGAGAGAATCGTATGGAATTAAGAACCGCACGCTGTCCATGAGTCCACAGCTGGCAGGCGTAACGGCGAGGACGCCTCCTGCTTCTGCGAGCCGCTTCCACACTAACAGAAGCTGCCGCTGTGGCCGAGACGGGGGCCACAGGCGTCGGGGGAGGTCCCCGCGAGCTGTCTGTGTCCTTAGAAAGAGCCCCCCGTGAAGCGTTAGTGTCTCACCTTCTGGTACTTCTGCCACCACCGGTGAGAGCACTGGTCCTCCCGGGAGACGGGCTTGGAGGGGAAGAGCTGGCGCCGGCTGAGGGACTCCAGCTGCACGGCGGACATGGTGGGCGGCAGCACGCACTCGGGGAGGATCTGCACCTTGGCCTGCTGGATTCTGAAACAGCCGGGCAGGGCGTTCGCTTTCGAGACAAACTAACAAACTACTAAGTTTCTAAGCATGAGACTAATTTTACACACTACAATTTTCAACGTTTTCTTTTTTAAACATATTCTGCAAATGCTGATGTTAAGATCCAAGAAATTTTCAACAACACCGTATTTCATCAATCATACCAAAGTTAAAATCAAACATAACCTAAGGGGCAGATTTCCAATCTCACTGTGGAATGGAATGGGAGATGTTTTACATTTCAGATAAATACACAGTCTATAAATGAAAATTAAAAAAAGTCAGCGTATAACCACATACCACCGCGCATCCTGGTATTTCTCAATCTCTTGGACTCTCTCGGCTCCTCGCCCCTCCCTTCCCCCCACCTCAACACGCCTGACGCTTACACCTCCCATTCTCAACAACCCCCTGACCGCAGGTGTAGGAAGACAGAGGAAGAGAAAAATCAAGAACCCATTCACGTGAGTAAGTTAAAATACAACTAATTGCACGTAGCCTTACCTTCTACGTGACATCTCATTCTCAAACACTTAACCTGAATGTGCAAAGAATCAAAATACACGTTATCTTTTACTTAAAAATTATTTATACTCTCGTGATAATAAGTCAGTCTCCAGAAAGCTACTTGAGGATGTCACGGCCGCAGACATCTTTGCGTGGACTGGCGCCAAGGAGAGGGTGGCGCCTGTGAGCTGTCTTCTCGGGGAGGGGGGCGCGTACCCCCCGGTGGACAGCCCTGAGATGTGGGTGTCAGTAGGCCACATGCTGGGACGAAGCACTGTCAGCCTGACGGAGTCGATGGCATGTTAAAAGTCACTGCTTCGTTATTTATTTAAAAATTCTAAAGTGGTCTTTCAATATTAACCACTGTCTTGACCAATAAAAATAGGTGAAATTTTGATATTTATAAAAATAACTGTCTGGAAATACCTCGGTTTAATTTAATGGTCACAGAAGACTCACTCCACTAACTCCATGTCTCTCCTGCCAGCTCAGGCTGATGTCCGCGTGACTTTGGAAAACGCTTAAAAAATGCCAGCATTCGAGCTGCGTTCAGATGTTCTAAAAACACACCAAATCTCGGCGTTCTTCACCTGACTCATGAACACAAACATGTGGTGATCGTATTTTTAAAGCAAAAGTGTCTGCAGCTTTCTACAGACATCTAGAAACGGATCCTCCTTTAAGGCAATCAGGAATTACGAACGGTTGTCCCTGACAACGGTGGGCAGTGACAGAAGTTCCAGAACGCAGCGTTGCTGGGGGGCCGGCCCCGATCACGCCGCAGCCTGCGGTGCTGCCTGGCGCTCTGCGAGCGCACACGGGGCCCGGGGCAGACAGCGGGCCCTCCCGGCCGCTGAGCTTTCTTTTTAACGTACACCAGTTCTGTTTCCTTCCAACCCGTTCATGGCAACCGTATGTGATTGCTGTTACATTCATTTCCATAGATATAAAAAGCAATAAAATGAAATTGCTTCAATAAATATCAGGTTGAGCCATAAAAAACGCTTTCAGATGTGGTTCGGACAGTTCTAGGGAATTAGTCTACGAATCTGGAAGGATTCTGCCCTGAGACGCCTTCTGTGAAGCGGTGCTGCAGGCAGACACGACAGGCAGATGAGGCACAGCAAAAGTGGCCCACGCAGGACAGGCGGCCAGGACAGCCAGCCGCTGGCTCTGCCCAGTGAAGTGGCCGACGTGCACGCCCGGTGTGCGTGTGGACCCTGGTACGGCTTCCAGCTGTAAGCAAGTGCCTGACGATGTCGGTCGCAATTATGACAGGTCGGAGAACTTTCAACTCTGGGCCGGGCACAGACAGCCTCCTCCTTCCACAGGGGTTCTGAAGAGTCACAGTGACTCAGCGGCACAATCCATTTCTAAAATTAACTTTTCAAATACTTCCACGTGCACAGGAGACACCGTAAAAAGGTCGGAAGGTGGCAGGGTACTTTTTACGCGTGCAGGGTCGTTTGTGTGAAGGATAGGCGACTGGCATCGAGCTAGTGGCTGGCCCTCCCGGTGAGTGCCCGGGGCACTCAGCACGGTGGTTTGCAAGGGGGGGCCTCGAACGGTGCGCCCCGACTCACCAGTGGATGACGTCAGGCTAGACACTCGGCCTCCCCATTCAGACGGGAGAGGGCGGCACTAGTGACTTGGGGGGTTCCTGCGTCCCACCAGCTCTGGTGACGTGGCTGCAGGACCAGGGGGCGGAAAGCAGAGGAGCCTCACCCCACGGAGGCTCTTCCATGAGGCGGCCTCCTGGGGGTCTGCGCAGGGCGGGGACGTGGCCTTTCCGAGCCCGGCCCAGCCCCCCAGCTTTGACGCCCGTGCTCTAGTCTGAAGACATCCTTGGACGGTGTGCAGAGCTACAGGCTACCGGCACCTTGTGTTCAACATGGCTGTCCATGGTTGCAAGCCACCAGCACCAAGACAGACTCAGATGCGCTTCTCCCCACGTCGGTTCCCGTTTTAGGTTCTGGAACTCGGTACTCACAAGGAACAAGTATTTCCTAAGCCTGAGGACAGCAAGCACTTTAAATGTGGCCCTGCTGGTCTACCCCACAGCCATGAACAGCTGCTACCGCCTCCCGTGCGGGGCCTGGGGGGATACCCTTCCTCCATCCAGGCGACGATCGGGGTCCAAAACGCAGAGCACAAAGTTGTCTCGGCCTCGTCCCCGCACGGCTCGCCCACTGAGGCGCAGACATGCACCCTGGGACAGCGAGGGTCCCGCCCTGTGCTGTGTCCAGAGGCATCGGGAGAGTGAGGCTGGCAGTCTGGGCGCTGGCCACAGCCCCCAAGGGCTGCCCGGCCCTTCCACGTCTTCATTTTTATGATATTTATGAACGCCCAGTATAACAAAAGTTCCCGCCCTCGTGCAGCGCACATTCTTTTTTAAATCTTAAAAAAATCCTCAGAATCGCCATGTGTTCATAAGATGTGACCAGAGCGACCAGGAGGCTGGACGAGTTGTCCGGCCCTGGCTGTGGCTGAGGGACCCGAGAGTTTGCCTCTGCCTGCGACTTCACAGGGGGCGTTGTGTGCCGGGGGGCAGGGCCGCTCCCTTGGGAGATGAATGCGGTATCAGGACAGACGGGTTTTTTCTCTTGTCTTTTTAAGAGAATAAAGTAAGGTGCACTGGATTTTTAAAAATGAGTTTAGTATTCCTTAAACTTATGACAAACCTCTGACTATGGGAGCCGAGCTAAAGTAACCACCAAAACAGCACAGAGAATTTCTGTATTTTATAAGGTACAGAGCCCACAGTGTCTACTGATCACTTACGTTACGTCACGCGTTTACGGGTGCTAAATTCACACTGGACGTGGGCAACAGATGCACAAGGTTTCCACAGCTCGGGCAGCAGCGGTACCCAGCGAGGCCGGACACCACAGCCGTCCTGGTGAAGAGCCCACGAGCCTCTGGCCTCCCCACACTTTTTCACTCTGAAAGGTCTTCAATCCCAAAGAAGCCACACCCCGGTGACACTGCACTCTGGGTTTAAATCACTGTTCTTGAACCTGGGGGGACAGCAGAATCGCCCAGAAACCACGAAAAAAGGTGCTGCAGCCTCGTCCCAGGCTAATCACTTCCCAGGGACGGGAGGCGAGGCTGGAGCTCAGGCTTCTTTAGTTTTAAAAACCTGCCAGGTGCCGGGGATGCAGAGCAAACCTGAAAACCACTCGGCTAAATCTCCAAAGCGGGAGGACGACTAGCGAAAAGTCACGAGGCCGCAAGGTCAGCAGAAGCAAAGAGACTGAGGGCCCCGTCCGCGCTGAGACGCTCGCGCGGCTGAGGTGACGGGGCCCCTTACCCGTCCGACTGCGTCCTGAGCTCCAGGACCTTGAACCGCTGCCTGCCCACCGCCTTCACCTTCACGATCTCGCTGCCGAAGTCCTGCTCCTCCCGGTAGGCGTAGATCTCCGCCGTCGTCCCGAACTGGGCTTCCCTTTCCTGGACGTTGCTTTAAAAGGAACCGGTTTGAACATTTAATGTTTACATATGCCAAGGTGACAAAAGCAGCACGTGTGGGAAAACAATTTGTAGTGACCAACCTTTACTGCAAAGTTATTATGATCTGTTTATTTTAGTATCAGGTGGGGGATTTACATCTCTAAGGAGCCGTCATAAAGCACAATGAGCACTTTTAAAGAAAGAATGGATTCTAGTCACTGAAACTGACCTAGGGCTGACGGAAATGTCTCCCGAAGCAAACACCCTCCCTTCGGCAGAGGCAGCCGGCCCTGCCCTGGGCGGACACTTCCTGTTGGCTTCCTGCCTCGGAGTGGGGACTCCACAGGCCGCCTGCCTGTCTCCCAGCGCCTGCCTGCCCCTGCTCTGCAAGGGGATGCTGACAGGGGACAGCAGCCTCTCCTCACTTTAAAGTGCGGAAGCCCTCCTCTTTAAATACGGTTCTCGAAAACGAGTCTCTAGAAGAGTTTCATGAAATATCAACGATTCAACACGGTCCCTACCAGAAAGTCCAACTGCGCGGGAGGCAGACGGCTGGTCTGGGTGGTAGCCGACGGGGGTGGCGGAAGCCCCCGCCCCACAGCCAAGGCCGCCCGCCTGCCCCAGACCGCACCTGTACGCAAGGACGGCGAAAGTCCGGTCCTTCTGGATCAGGCCGCGCACCATGCTGACCTCCTGGGGGCTGAAGAGCCGCAGCGGCAGGGTCTGCCCGGGGATCAGGACCACCACCACCTGCGGCAGCACGGGGATCAGCTGGCAGCTGTCGTCGTCATGCAGCGTCCTGCCGTGGAACTCCTCCATGTCGGCGCCCAGGTACTGTCGGCGAGCACACGGCTGCGTCGGCTCACGGGCCCGGGGGGCACCGACGCCTGTCTGCACACAGCCCCCATGTCCGCGTCCCGCGTGCAGGTCTAACCCGGACCCCAAGCGTGTTGTGAAGACTCTCGCACGTATAGATTCAAGAGTGTTTTTTAGTTCAAAGTATTTTAGTTTGACTAAGAAAGAGCCAGCCGTAAGTCCAAATGTCACACGGGACAAGGATGTTCGTATGATAAATGACCCCCAATCACCTAACACGGAACAGGAGAGACTTCAGCAGCGACACGACTACGCCAGGAAGGGCGACGATGCCTCAAAGAACCGCACCAGGATTTAGTACGCAACGCCTTAAAAATCGCGGTCCGGCGCGTGCAGTTGGCAAGGGGCCCAGGTCCTCGCCCGGTTTCAGGCGCGAGGCGACATACAGTGCGTGCTAAGATCGGTCACTGGAGTTTAGGGACTCTACCTACAGTTGCCTGTAGCCCGTGGAGCTGCGGCCACATTACTCACCGTGTGTGACGTGGGCAGGCTGGTGTCGAAGTTTATGACGTTTGGTTTTTGGGCTTCTTTGCTATCCTGGTCTTCGACTTCCATTTCGATGGCATCTTCTTCCTCACTCTCTGCTGCATAGGGGGGACCGTGTGCGGCAATGTCGGCTGGGCCCCCCGTGCTTGCCTCTGCCCACCTCACCCGGTCAACGTAAGAGTCAGAGAAGCTGCAGGTGCAGGACGCAGCGTCCCTGAGTGCCCGCGTGGCCTGGTACGTGTGCTCGTCCTTGGCTCCCTGCTGGCCACCCCACTCCACGCTTTACCTGGACATGTCCCTTCTATGCTCCAGCATCCCACCCGGGACACCGCGTGATACCGAGCTGACTCCTTGGCCTTGTCCCCAGTGGGCCTCGCAGCTCTGACAACCGGGCAGGTGTCCTGCTCTCTCCCCTAGTCAGGGTTTGCTGGTTTTCTCAGGATTTGACCGTGACTGTGCGTCTTGGGGAGGGCGACCAGGGGCGGAGGGCCACGTGCAGCAGGTCAGGGGTGCACACTTCACCGTGACCGTCACTGCAGAAGCCGGCAGGGCCCAGGCTGCAGCCGTGTCTGTCAGGCTGCCCACTGCAGCGGCTGTTCCCCCAACCCCCTACACCGCACCCTCTGGAAGGGGCCCACGGGGCACAGCCCCACGGGGGGCCGAGGGCGAGGAACCGCGCCACCTCCCCGAGGGGCACCGACAGGCAGACTCTAAACTCTTCCATGCGAGGGGCCGCCCCTCCCTGTAGCTCATTCTGACACCGCGGACAGCTCCTGCCGCCCATTAAACCTCGTTTCCTCATCCGAAAAGTGACAACATGAGGGATACTAAGGTCCTTTCGAACGCAACTTTAAAACATTCCTACAGAGGACAGAAAGGAAGGGAGGGAGAGAGGGGGTAGGGGGAAGGAGAGGGGAGAGGAAAGAAGGAAGGAGGGAGGGAGGGAGGG